GGGGGGGGCAGTCAGGGAGCGGGAGAGTGTTGGATGGGTCTCCGGCCTTCACCTGCCACACCCTCCCGCGCGTCCCCCCCGTAGACCCCCCTCTGCCTACTTGTACTGCCAGAGCCAGCAGCAAGTGCTGTCTGCTGCCCCCGGGTCCTAGCATCCCCCATCCACTAAGGGGAAGACAGGCTGCCCTAACCCTGCCCTTCCACCCTAGCCCTGAGCCTCTCCAATGCCCCAAACACCTCAGCCCCAGCCCTCATCCCTCTGCACCCTAATCCTCTGCCCCAGCCCTGAGCCTCCTCCTGCATCATGAACCCCTCATCCTCAGACCCACAGCCCTCACCCCTGCATCCCCTCCTATCCCCAAACTCCCTCCCAAACCCCCTCCCCACACACCCCCTCCTGCCCTCAAACTCCCTCCCAAAGCCTGCACCCCCTCCCTTTGCACCGCCTCCCACCCTCAAACTCCCATCCCAGAGCCTGCACCCCTCCCCCCCTCCTGCACACCCACCCCCTGCCCCAGCCCGGAGCCTGCACCCAGCACCCAAACTCTATCCCAGAACCTGCACCCTGCATCCCTCCTGCACCCTAATCCCCAGCCCAGGACCTGCACCCCAGACCTCCTCCCCCCACCCAACCCCCCTCCCAGAGCCTTAGGCAGGTGGGGGGGGGGGTTCTGGGCACCACCAAAATTTCTACAACCCTGTCACCCATGCAAGTGGATAAGGGTCAGGGCAGTTAGGGGACAGGTAGGGTCCTAGGGGTGTGGGGTTCTCAGCAGGGGGCAGTCAGGGGACAAGAAGCAGGGGGGGTTGCAGTTCTGAGGGGGGCAGTCAGGGGGTGGGAAGTGGGAGGGAGTGGATGGGGCAGGGGCGGGGCTCCCCTCCCCCCCCCCCGTGTCCTCTTTTTGATTGTGGAAATATGGTAACCCTAGCTTGAACCAGGTATGAAAATTCATCTTCCATACCTAGAAGAAATGATTTGGATAGGGAATGTTTAGTTAGACACAATCAGGTTTATTTTTATTTTGGCTTGTGAATCTCCTCTATGCTAACCCCAGATGCTTTTGTTTGCTTGTAAACTTTAAGCTGAACCCCCAAGAAAGCTTATTTGGGTGCTTGATTTTTGGAATTGCTCTTTTAAAATCTAGCAAAAGCCTAAGTTCCAGATGTATTTTCTTTCTTTTTGTTTTTAATAACATTTACCTTTTTTAAGAACAGGATTGGATTTTTGCTGGCCTAAGAGGTTTGTGCATATGCTGTTTGATTAGCTGGTGGCAACAGCAAATTTCCTTTGTTTTCTCTCTCAGCTCTTCCCCAGAGGGGGTGGGTGAAAGGGCTTGAGGGTACCCCACAGGGAGGAATTCCCACGTGCTCCTTCCTGGGTCCAAGGGATTTTTTTACATTTGGGTGGTGGCAGCGTTTACCAAGCCAAGGTCAGAGAAAAGCTGTAATCTTGGGAGTGTAATACAAGCCTGAAGTGTCAAGGCTGAATCCCCATTCTGTCACTCCAAGTGCAGGAAGTGGGGGCCCACAAGGATTTTTAAAATGAATACTGGCCACTCCAGGCTTGTATTACAGGATGTCCATCAAAGGCAGCTACTTCCCCCACCCCTTCATGTATCACACCATCATCTAATACATATATGTCTGTGGATATGGGATGTGCCTTCAGCTTATGGGAACATCTGTTATTTTCTAGTAGAGTTTGATAGCCACATCAGACATGCTCTCTTTTTGAGTCTGCTGGATTAATCAACTCTGTACCTGTGTCTTCCTGACAAAGTACACACTTGCCCCAGTCAATAGAGGAATGGGTCTCTCTTGATGGACCTGCTCTTGAACAAGCTTGTCTAAAAGATACATTTGAAGCACCAGTAATAGCCGATATCTAATATCTTTCTCTACTGTATTCTGTCAATACCACCCAATCACCAAGATGCTTTCACACAACCAAAGTAGCATCTGAAAGAAAAAGAGAAATGTGATTAAATTCTGCCACGACCACACTGACAATCAACATTAGTACAAAATGTGTCCTTACGCCAATGTTAAGGTCACGTTGAAGCAAAACCAAGAATACAGCCCTTGTATGTCCAACTGTAAAGCAATGTTCTTTGCCAATTATGGGAATGTTGTTAAAATGGCTGGCACAGCCAACACAGCATGAGTTGGCAATGGCCCCATCTCTGAAAATCATTAAGTCATGCCCTATGACTGTGACAAGTTTCACGCTTTGGGGGGGGGGGACGACAAATCTGTATGGCTATATGAATTACCTCCAGCTAGGTGGTGATGTTTATCATTAACCAAAAGGGGCTCATTTATCGCTGGCAATGCTTCTCAGCCGTTAGTATTAGGGATGAATTTAGCCATTGCAGGGAATTTTATCCAGCTGATAGCACAACGCCTGCAGGGCAAAGCAGATTTCCTCCTTGGCCAAGTCATTTACTTCTCCCAGAGGTGAGGCCAAGTCAAATAGTGCCATATATGACTTAATGCTTTCTGGGAGCGTGAGACGCAAGCTCTCCTTGTGACAGGGTTACCCTCACCGTTAAATAAATTGTGCCTTATTCCAGTCTAATTTGTCTAGCTTCAGCTTCCCCTTTGGATCTGGTGATACTTTTGTCTGCTAGATTGAAGACTCCTCTGTTCTACATCACTAGCAATTTTTAATTCAAGATTGCATGTTTTTCTGAGCTCTGCTCTAGTTCGAACACAGAGACGTCCTATGATCTGCGTTATACAGGGCAGGCTGGGTCACCACAGTGGACCCTTCTGGCTTTATGACCAGTGTGTTTGTCATGTTGCTGCTCCTTGGTAGCAGCAACGGTTTTATTATGGTTGCGGTCAGCTTTTCAAGACAGCCTTCTTTCTGCTGTAAGGGCAGCGATAACACCAGGCTTCTGCCATTAGGCGGAAGTTGTGTGCTATTAAAATACTGACCGGGTCAAAACTGCATGACACACGATAAATACTGGCCTTTCAAAGCACATTTACCAGAAGGAGGGATTTGGGTTTGGTTTTTTTTTTAAACACACAGGGAAAGTAGGGGGTAGGTGTGTTAATACCGTTTCCAAACTTGGATCCATAAAGAAATACGGATTTAGGGGCAATTCTTTTGGCCTAAGAGACTTCACCAAGATCACAATGCAAGTCAGCAGCAGAGCTAGGAAGCAGTTCTACTATGCTATCCTTTGCTCCATCTCCTGACTGGTACCTTCAGGAAAGTGTTCTCTTGTCTCGCCGGTCTGCTTTTAGCAGTGGGGTCATGTGACAGCGCTGGAATTCCAGTCTCCCATGGGAATGTTTGCTATACCTCTTTGCATGCTAATAAGCCAGCCGTTCTGCCAACACCCAGCCAAGCAGGGAACTCACTTTTGTCAAGCTACAGTGAGCAGAGTTCTATTCCACAGATTCCTGTGTTTGAAGGCAAGAATTATGGAAGATTTTCCTCACATGCTTTCAGCTTTCCAGGAGCAAACAGATTTACAAAGCACAGCCTTGGATGTTTTTCCCAAAAATTTTATTTCCAGAGATTGAACTTCAATTTCAAGTACAATTTTCCATTCCTGTGCCCTTTCCCCAGATAAAGCAAATGCAGGGGGGAAATAAAATACATTTCACTACAGTGATCAGTAAAAAATAAATATTATAAAACTCCTGGACATCAAGACTTCAGGTCATATTTTAAAAGAGCTGGTACAGATGATTTTCTTCCCCACCAAAGATTTGATCAATGGAGGAGAAATGAAAGAGTTCTGTCCCCACAGTATTCAGGTGGGGATGGAGCTAATTCTCTTTAAAATATATTCAGGACTTCAACAACAATAAAAACCCACACCACAATTACTGCCTTATAATAAATTACTATGTACATTTGTGATACATCTGCCAATTGAGTGTTCTCTTGTTCACATTTCAATTGCAGAACAGAACAGCTTCGCGAGTCTCCGGTCTCGCACACCCCAGCTACAGATGAGCTACAGTCCATTTTGTCATGCGGCTTCTTGCTTGGTGCTTTTGCTCTCTCCAACCCATGAGTTGTGCCAACAAATGTGCAAACAAAAGATGGTGACATGGAAGTAATACCAGATGTAGTCACAGCATCAGATAAGGTGCCATGTTTAAAAAACCCTTGGGAAGGGCCAGAGCACTCTTGGAGTGAAGGCTATGCCTAGTGGCAAAGCTTCTGGGTTTTTTCCCAGTTTTGCATGTGTTGTGATAAGGTACCATATGGGTTGATTCCTAGCTACTCTCTCTCCTTGCTCCACGCCGGGGGAGGGGGGTGGGGTGGGTACTGATGGCCTCATAATGGAGCCGTTCTTTGGCTGCAGAGGTTGCAGCAATACACTGCCACTCAAATCAGCCACAGCGGCTAGGCCTGAGCTTAGGCACTCCCTCCTCCAGGGGCTGTGAGCAGCCACAATGCGAGAGAGATTAGAGCTCCAAAAGGCACTTCGGAGCACAGCTGGGAAGCCACTGTTTAGCCTTTACCCCCTCTAGTCACAGGACCGAGTTCAGATACTTCTAAGGATGCTGATGCAATCAGAATTAGGGACCCAATGGCTCGAAAACAGTCAAGTGCACCTCTGCTTTGACCCACGCAATAGCTCCCACATGCTACTGTGCCCGAATAGCACTGGTGAATGCAAGGACTGCTCTACTGGCCCTCCTGGGGCATGCAAGTGACTCATTTGTCATTCCGAGACTCGAACACAAAGTAGCCGAAATATCAAGGTCTGGCACTGTGAAATGCTGAGCACCTTTCAGTTCCCAGTGAAGTCAGTTGCATCTCTCAGGAGGCATTCAGTGCCTTGCAGGATCAGGCCTCTAGAGAAGGAGCTTCAAGGTGCAGGACTTGCTTCAGCAGTACTCATTAGTCTGCTTCTCCGGGGACACACTTTGAAGGTGAGGCTTATTTTCACAACCCTAGAGAAGGTAGGAGGCAGAATCTAGGTGCTACATGACCTGCTTTCCCCGTTCCCAGACAGCTCAAGTGAGAAAACCTCAACCTTTATAAGAACATGCATTTGTAAAAAAATTAAGGCAGAAGGATCTTACCCCAGTAGTTTGGCTATTTTCTTTTCAAATGCACTCTCAGACTGAATCGTTAATTAGGACACCAATGTTAAAAACTAGTTAATCTAATGGTTATTTTAATTAAACTTCTTTATCGGAATCAGATCATAACTTGTCAACTGATGCCATAACTTTAAGTGCAAGGGCCTGATTTTGGTCTCACACCAGCTTTCCCCAGATGCTAGTCTGACTTCAGTGGCGTTACTCCAGATTGACACCACAGCAAAGAGATCAGAATCAGGTCTCAAGTGGTTCCAAACATTTGTTTTACTGTTTTGCAATAGTTTTTGATCTAGCTACGCCCGGACTGATGTAGGTGCATATGTATTAGGTCAATTTCCCTGGTCTGTCATCTGGAATGAAGTTCTGAGCCTCAGACTTAGTCCAAGTTATGTCCAGGGAGGTTTTCACATTATCAAGACAATTCACAGTTGGGTAAAGTCCCTTCACCAGTGAAGTTTAGATAGTGGGCCGAATTCCTCTCAGTAGGTACAACTCCAGTAAAAGCAATAAAGCTGCACCTGGGCCAAGTTCAGACCTGGTGCAACTCCACAGCCTTCAATGTAGTTACACCAGGATCCCAAACATTTAAGTGGTTATTCTTTATCCCCTGGTCTGCAAGACATTTTTCCCTTCTCAGAGGCAGGTGCTTTGTAGTGGGATAGTCATAACTTTCCTTCCTTCAGCACAGGATTCTCTGAAATGGTAAGGTCCCACTGCAGTGGGGTTTTGGTCTGGTATACTGTATGTATGGTTATACGTTTCAAGTACAAGCTAGTCTGATTACTTCTATGTGAGTGTTAGAGTAGTCGGTGGTTACAATTTATAATATACAGCTCTCAAATTTCAATGGGGAGCTGTTCATAATTATCTAAAATAGTCAAATAACCAATCAACACTACTCTACATTTTAGGGATCCCTGTTTTCTCAGCCTAACTCTGATGAGAAGCCAAGGCCCTTGGAGCAGGATAAAAGCCCAGCTACAGTATCTGCAGAAAATATAGGACTAGGTGGTTCAATGGAAGCCATGTGCTTATGTTCAGTTAGTCACTGGCTCTTCTAAAGTGACATGTCCTGGCTGTGCCCCTGCACTGCGCCACCTCTAGAAAGGGGCGGGACGTTTTCCTCTTTCGTGCAAATGCAAACGCTGTTGTTGAGAAGGTCTGAGAGCAATTTCAAATTGCCCTCCGTGATCCATTAAGAAAAAAGCCATCTGTTCTGCTCTCCTGTGTATTACAAATATACAAATAAACTTACTCTAACTATTTTCATGCCATTTCATTGGGTTAGGACAGGGGAGCCCAACCTACAGGCCACCAGAGCATTTCATAAGGCCCACATCTTGCTTCAACACAATATATGGAATGGCCGATTCATTAGCGTTTTGTCGTTTACATCATTTTAGTTTACACGAGTGTGTAAATAGACAATACTGTACATAGAAACAACCTAGCTAAATACATATGAAACAAGCTGAACTTCAAATATAAATCAATACAGGTGCCTTGAAATCTGATTAAAATCTGTCGAATCTGTTTGGCCCACCCAAGGTCGTGCTTAAGTTCCTGTGGCCCTCCCGTGTAATAAGGTTGGGCACCACTGGGTCAAGATGTTAAGCAGCAGTTTTCAAATCAACATCTCAGTGCTTAAGATACCAATCTCAGTGCTTCTGATACTGATCTCAGCCTTCCTGGGCCTCTTCCAGAGCCACAGCCGAGGTTGGGCCCGTGGGGTCGTTAGAAGAACCCCCATCATGGGTGGCTACTGCCCTACAACTCTAGAAGAAGCAAATAACTTGTAAATTTCTGATTTTAAGCATAATAAAAATCTGAAAATGAATTTCTCAACTTAAATCCATACAGTATCTTTTTGTAAGGAATATGTACACTCACATCTACAGCAAACCCTCAAATATCTGGGAGAGTTTAAATGAAGTTTCCCCATTAACAAGCGTTAAACTTCACGTTAGTTATTACATGTGGTGTCAGAGAGCAGGCACTACATGAACACTTTGAAACACGCAGGGGAACTGCAGGAGCTGCGTTAACACTACTCCAGTTTGAAAGTGTTATTTGAAGTGACAAGACATCCCGTCGCTGTTACTTTCAAGTATAGATGATTGCAATGATGAAACCTTTAGTAAGGATTAGGCAACTCATGGATGTTAACACAGGATAAGTCTTCATTTAGGTCACAGGTGTTGCCTTTGGCAGGTTATCATGGTGACACATGAAGCTGTCATCATCTACACAATACCAAGCGTGCAGTTAAACTTTGCAGCTCCACAAGGCGACTGGGAAGAAGATGTAAGTACTAGACCAAACGAGATAGTAGAGAGAGACTATTGAATAGGAAGAGAACAAAACCATCAGGATACCTGCAACAGGAAAGTAGCACAGAAAAGTAGGTCAGATACAATTGACAAGGTTAACAAATGTAAATATACATTTCACACACTTCCCCAAATCCCTGCCTTTCTGTCACTGAAAGATTTTCTAGCAGGTTTGAGCCTGAAGGATTCTTCTGTTCACTGCTGGAAATAAGTCCTTTTAAAAAACACCAGACACGGGTTGTTTAGTATGATCTGGTCTCCTGCACCTTTCACAGCATGCAACTCTGTGGCAAAAGGAGCCACTGCCACCATGTATAATGTACTTCATGATCTTTCATGACCCCACCTTTGTAGACACACAAATTCTGTGCTTCTAGAATTTTCATGCCATGTCTAGAAGTCAGACAAAATAATTTTCTGGCTGCTTTCATGGCTCCATTTCAGGGTTGTATAAAACAAAACAAGCCATGGCCTGTTATCTGTGGCTGGTAAAACCCCAGAATTAATGTTTCAGGTGGAGATTTAGAGAGGTATTGACTGGATATGTTGGAGTACATTTGATCTGAGCAATCAACTAGCAGGAATACAGCACAGTTCTGAAGACTGAATCCTCTTTTATTCCCTTCTTACTAGACTTTCTTGAGGAAAAGTACTTCAAAAATAGAGCTAACAAAATTATACTGCATAAAGTGTCTGTGAATGAAAAATGCAATTGTCCATTATGAGCTGTTGGGTATTTTACACCTTCCTCTGAAACATCTGGTACTGGCCATTCCCAGAGAAAGGAAACAGAGCTAGATGGACCATTGATAGGATCTGGCGTGACACTTTCTAGGCTTCTAAATCATCTAGGTTTATTTCAGGTAGGAAGGAGCACGACCTAAGAGTTCATCGTAGCCACTGAGAGTTGAGAAACTGGTTCTATTCCTAGTCAAAACATGGCCACTATGTGATCTTACACAAGTGACTTCTGTGCCTCTGCCTGTTTGCCGATCCCTAAAAACTGAGAAAATGCTCTTCCCCTTTTGTAGCGTGCATTCACAACGTCTCTGATGACAGGCACTATGGACTTCCACATATTCTTATTTCTACTTCTCTTAAAGAGGCACACCCTGTATTCAGGTGAGTAAGAACCCCCTCATGTTTCAAACACATGTTGAAGAACTTATACACTAGTTATATATTTTAGGTTTACAGTACAAAAAAGAAATGTATATTTTCATACAGCTCCCAAGAACTCTGGTTCACATTAGTTTACCCTTTCCGTCAGCTGGGCTGAAGAATGAAGTCAAAGAAGGGACTAGATAATGAAGGGCAAGCACTACGCCTTCACCCCTTGTGTGAATCCACAGAAACAAATGAGAGCCAAGGTTTTGTGCTGGTTTGTTTTAAAACTTACCCCCTGCATAGACCATCTTTTTCCAGAGCTGGGACTCCAGTACTTTGTCATGGGGATAGAAGCCCTGGTCAACCATGAACAGGATCATTATCATGGCTACAATCCGTAGAACCACAAGGTTGCCCCCAGTCAAGAGGTATGTGCCAGTCAGGAGGGAAGAAGCATAGGGACAGGGCAGTCCTCGGTACATGAAAGGGATTCCTACAAGGAAGAGGAAGGAATGGGTGACTTTTCCTTTTAAAATTGCCACAAAGCTATAAGCCAGAGGATTCTGGGAAATAAAAGAGAATGCTTGGTTCAGCCCTAAAAAGGGACATGGACAGGTTAACCAAAAATTCAAACAGTTCTTCGCCCATTTTATTTGCAACACCTGAGATAAGAAAAATGAACACTTAAAAATCACGTTTCACCATTTACTGTGTGGATTTTTCATTTCCCTCAGCTGGAAAACATCAATGACTAGAAAGTGGAACAAACTATCTAGGAGTTCATACTGTGCCCATCACCACAGTATCTCAATGCTGAGAAAAGGGATCCCAACCAAAAAAGGGTCGTTGGCTAATTTTCCTCCCTCCTTGCCCTTGAGCAATCAGGGCTATGTTTGTTTTCTTCTTTCCTCTCTTCTCCTCCCCAACAGGTTTTTCTCCCTCTTGCTTTCCTCTCTCCCACCTACTCTTTTGTTGCTCTCGCACTCCAGCTATTGGAAGGGAAAATGCAGATGTTCCATGAGTCTTGGAGCACTGGGGAAATCCCAGATGACTGGAGGGAAGCCAATGTTGGGCCAGTTTTAAAAAGGGTAAACAGGCTGAGCCAGGTAGTTATAGGCCTGTCTGCCCGACATCGACCCAGGTAAGATCTTGGGGTGGCTGATATGGGACCCTATTAATAAAGAATTAAAAGAAGGTAATGTAATTAATGCAAATCAACATGGGCTTATGGAAAATAGATCCTGTCTCACTAACTTGATAGCATTTTGATGAGACTACTTTTATTACCCAAATTTATTACGGAAGTGTAAGTAAATTACATTAGCACTGTAAAGCATGTGACTTGGTACTACACAACATTTTAATTCAACAACTAGAGCAATATAAAATGAACATGGCACATATTCAATGGACTAAAAACTGGCTAACGTATAGTTTCAAAATGTAACCGTAAATGGGGAACCATCATCAAGCAGATGTGTTTCCAGTGGGGTTCAACAAGGATTGGTCCTTGGCCCTGCCCCCACATTTTTATCAATAACCTGGGAGAAAACATCAAATCACCACTGATAAAGTTTGCAGATGACACACAAATTAGGCAAGTAGTAAATAAGGAAGGGGACAGGTCACTGATACAGTTTTGAAAGTTTAATGTGTTGTTAACAACACAGAGAGACTTTCAACTTTAGTGTCTCTAACACATACACAGCATCTCTCCCACTCTCTCCCAGAGGGCAAAAATATATCTTCCGAAAAAAAAACCTGCTGGAGTGGGACAGAGAAACCAGGAAACTCCACAAGGAGAACATGGTGGCCCTGAGGAGTCTGAACCCTTCCTACTGCTCCCCAGCCCCCAGGTGCTGACCTGCTCTCCCTCCTCCTCAGCAGCAGAGCTCCATCACTGGGGCCGCCCACACCTCCAAGCACTGGCACACACACAGGTGCCATCACTTGCAGTGGATAGGAAACAGAACCAATGAGTCTGTGCTGTTTAAAAACTCACAGGGCATGGCTGCTTCTCAGCTACAGGAGTTGAAAAAGCAGGACCAGCACTTGTCTGATTCCATTTCCTCCCAGCAGGAGGTGCTGCCCAGCCCATGGTAGCAGAGACTAGAGCAGAACGTTGAATAAACTCCTACAACTGGAAGGTGATGGACTTTCAGCCATATTACGCCCTACTTACACTCCTTCTTACTGGCTGTAGCCATGCTCCAGACCCACGCAGAGCAAGGGAGACCACGCACTTACCACTCGAGAAGAAGCACAAGCGGGAAAAGACTGCGAGCACATAGACGATAGCCAGCAAGCCATCCAGGATCCCGTGAGCCTGCAGCAGCAGAGCTGTGGCCAGACCGAATGAAGTGAAGTCAGCGAAGTCATCCAACTTGGCACCTGCCGGGAGTGAGAAGCAGCTGCTCAGCAACCACGCAACCTGATCCCAGCTCCCCAAATGGCAGGAAGGGGCAGATGGATTTCCCAAGCCCAGCAGTGCTCTTGGGAGGAGTCTGGCATCACCCACTAGGAACTCCATGGGCTGGACACGACTAGCACTGTCGCCACCAGCCCAGCATGTCCCTTCCAGAGACTAAAGGAACTACATCCATGCCTTGCTCATGACCCATAAGTGTCTAGAGAGGGAGATTTCTGACAGCAGGGGGCTCTTCAGCCCAGCCAAGGCAGAATAAGAGCTAAGAGCTGGAAGCAGAAGCTAGTCACGCTCAAGTGGAAATCAGGCCCAATTGTGTAACCATGAAGATAACAAATACGGTGACCAGATGTCCCAATTTTATAGGGGCAGTCCCGATATTTGGGCCTTTGTCTATTACCCCCCACCCCGTCCCAATGTTTCACACTTGCTGTCTGGTCACCCTAATAACGAAGCACTGGAAGAGCTAAGTAAGGGACGTTACTCTCCGGCTTGGGCTCCAGTGAGGCACTGGGAAACCACTTGGAACAGTCAGCGAGGCACATTTTAAACGGCCCCCACTTTCTGGTGCAACTCCTTTCACCTCCAGAGAGACCTGCCCTACTGCCTCCTTAGGGCCTCCATCTGCCAAAGAGGAGACTACTGAGTCTGGAGGATAGGGAGAGGAGATGGAGCCTCTTGGCAAAGGGTTCAACTGTATTTCTGACCCATCCATGATCAAGTTCTACCTGATGAAGAAGGAATTGAGTTAGGCATAGTTGGGCCTGGTATTGCCCAGGGCATGAGAAGTTCAGTTTGCAAAGTGGATGAGTTTCTCAACTTCGAGAGCTCTCCTGTCCCCTCGAATGAGCCATACTGCTCCTCCTCACCTTTCCCCAGCCCTTCCCTCACGGCCTTAGCTGAGCACTGAACTTGGCTTGTTTCACATTCAGTGCACAGCAAGACACAAGATTTTCTCTCCCTCAAGGCAACTACCAGCGTGAAATGGCACCAAGGATCACCACCGCTCCCTCCCCTCCCCACACACAACAGCCTTCGAAGAGCTGGCTGAGGTGCTCGCTGGACCGGTACTGTTCATTTTCAATCAGTGCTGGAACGCTGGAGAAGTTCCAGAAGAAAGTTGGTGTTGTGCCGATATTCAGAAAGGGTAAATGGGTTGACCCAGGTAATTACAGGTCTGTCAGTCTGATCACGGAGCGGCTGATACAGGACTTAATTAATACAGAATTAAAAGTGGTGCTGGAAATTATTTTCTTAGTAAGTTTATTGCGGTTTGCCAGGACTCAGCTGCCAGACAAGCATCAGTCCCAAAGGCCACTTGGTGTTGGGTACATCCAAAATACAAATGTAAACAGATACACCCCCATTCAATATCCAGCAACGATACAGTGATAAGCACTGGCCAAAACACAACCAGATCCGACCGAGGAGACACCTTCCCATGAAGGCGTGACTCCAGAGAGGTAAGGAAAAGCTCGGACAAGGAACCCTTAGAAAACCTTGCTTTTTATACACTAATACACAAGTGAAGTCATTGCTAATTACTGGACTTTAGCTAAAGTCAGCTGAAGCAGTTTATATCACTTTGTCATGTTTTTCCCTAGCTACTGGTCTAAGCATTTCTAACCAATTATTTACTATGCCTGGGATCCAATTAACACATTCACTTTTTCTGTTGCTTATCCCAAATCTTAAATAAGAAAACTCTGGTACTTCCAGGCTCAATACAAGTCTAACACAAACAATCCTTCGTTCTCGTGATTTCTTTTTTTTTTTTTTGGTCTCAGGCCTATCACTCATATTAAAATCCACACTCAGTTTAAAACCATAGTTTACTGGGGTCTAATGTGAGCCTATATTCCTATAGGAGGGTAATATAATCAATGCCAATCAACACGGGTAAATGGAAAGTAGATCCTGTCAAACTAACAATCTCTTTTTTGATGAGATTACAAGTTTGGTTGCCAAAGGTAACAGTGACTTAATATACATAGACTTCTGCAAGGCATTGAACATGGTACTGCATGTTACATGCATTAAAAGCTGCCTAACTGATAGATCTCAACATGTAATTGTAAACAGGGGATCATTGAGCCGATGTGTTTGGAATGGGCTCTGACTCTTGGCCCTACGCTGGTTCACATTTTTATCAGTGACCTGGAGGCAAACAGACAATAATCACTAATCATGTTTGCAGAGGACACAAAATTGGGGGAGTGGGAAATAATGAAGAGGACAGGTCATTGATACAGAGTGATCTGGATCGCTTGGTAAACTGGGCGCAAGCAAACAATATGCATTTTAATATGGCTAAATGTATCCATCTAGGAACAATGAATGTGGGCCATACTTACAGGGTGAGGGACTCTATCCTGGGAAGCAGTGGGGGTCATGGGGGATAATCAGCTGACCATGAGCTCCCAGTGTGACACTCTGCCCAAAAGAGCTAATGTGATCCTTGGATGCATGAACTTTATTACTTCTGAGGGCATTCTGCATCACAAAATTAAAAATTCTGTGCACGGTATTTTAACATTCTGCAAATTTGATTTGTCAAATAAATATGGAGTCTCCGGCATGGCAGTGGGGAGTACAGGCCACTGGCTGCACGGGGTGGGAGATCACTGTGCAGCTCCCCCCAGGACACGGACTCAGCAGTGAGGCTGCACCCAGCCCTGACACAGTGCAAGGACGGGGCCCTGCCCCTCCGTGCCAGGTGCACCAGGTGTGGGCAGGCAGGATCCAAGTGTGGAGGGGCCTAGTGTGGGGGGATCCAGGTGTGGGTGGAGAGGGTTCTGTGTGGGGCAATCTGGGCGCGAGGGGGATCTGGATGCACAGTGGCTTGTTGGGTTTTTTTGGGTGCAACAGTAATGGGACTCTGCAGGGGGATCCAAGTGAAGGTGGTTGAGGCTTGGCAGGGGGGTCTGGGTGTGGGGAGCTCAGTGGGAGAGTCCAGATGCTGGGGGAATGGGGCTCAGTGTGGTGGGGATCCACGTGCAGCTGGTTGGGGCTCAGTAGGGTGGGGATCCGGATGTGGGTGGCTCGTTGGGGAGGTTTAGGTGCAGGAGGAGTGGGACTCGTTGCGCGGGGGGGGGGGG